ATTCTGATGTTCAGGAAAAACTAAATATCAGCAACTCATCCCTTAAGTCTGATGAGCATCTAAGTGACTCAACTGGTGAATCAGTAAATGAGGAGCAAGTTCCTGATGAGTCTCTGGCTGTATCTGATAAAAAATTGAAAGATAAGGAAGAAAATGTGCTGATTAAAAACCTTCAATTTGGATTTACCTCACTTCAGGTAATTTACTTTCTTGTGCATACTAGGTCATAAAGAATTGAATATGCAAGTTTTTCTCCTTTTGCAGATCTCGCTTAAAACATATCCAAATTTGGCATCCATATTTTCCATTAAAGAGAAGTTATTGCCACTTTTTAAATGCTTTTCTGTGCCTGTTGAATCGGAAAGCAACATTCCTCAACTTTGCCTGAATGTTCTATCTCTCCCGACTAAATATGCTCCTTGCTTGGAGGCCATGGTTGCAGATGGATCTAGTCTTCTTTTGTTGCAAATGCTCCACTCTGCCCCCGCTTGCCGAGAAGGGGCACTTCATGTTCTCTATGCTTTGGCAAGCACACCTGAGCTTGCCTGGGCAGTTGCCAAGCATGGTGGTGTTGTGTACATTCTTGAACTTTTCTTGCCTTTACATGGTAATCGTGTGTTTCTGGTTTTTCATTCCTTTTTTATTTAGAAGATGATCTTATTGATCTTAGAAATGGCTATTTGCAGAAGAAGTTCCCTTGCAGCAAAGAGCAGCAGTAGCCTCTTTATTGGGTAAGCTTGTTGCGCAGCCAATGCATGGACCTAGAGTTGCTATAACATTAGCAAGGTTTTTTCCAGATGGTCTAGTATCTGTCATAAGGGATGGGCCTGGTGAAGCTGTTGTTTCTGCCCTTGAACAGAATACAGAAACACCAGAACTTGTATGGACACCAGCCATGGCTGCTTCTTTGTCTGCACAAATTGATGCTATGGTATCAGACCTGTACTGTGAACAGATGAAAGGCCGTGTCATTGACTGGGATTTACCTGAGCCAGCTTCTGCACAGCAGGAAATGAGAGATGAGCCTCAGGTATTACTTGTTATATTCTTTATTTAAATTTTCTATTTGTTGTTCTCTGGGGAACTAATAAGTTCAAAATCATGCAGGTTGGTGGAATCTATGTCAGGCTATTCCTAAAAGATCCGAAATTTCCTCTTAGAAATCCCAAGAGATTCCTGGAAGGGCTACTGGATCAGTACTTGTTATCTATTGCTGCCACACATTATGAGTCACGATCTATTGACCCTGAGCTTCCTTTACTTCTTTCTGCTGCTTTGGTTTCATTCTTGCGAGTGCACCCTGCACTTGCAGATCATGTCAGTTATCTTGGGTATGTGCCCAAACTTGTTGCTGCTGTGGCTTATGAGGGAAGGCGAGAAAGAATGTCATCAGGGGAGATGAAAGACGGCAATAATATGGCAGAGAGAACATATGATTCTGATGAGCAGCTAGCACAAACTCCACAAGAACTTGTGCGCCTTAGTTGCTTGCGGGTTCTGCATCAACTTGCTGCCAGTAAAATATGTGCTGAAGCCATGGCAGCAACCAGTGTCGGAACACCGCAGGTATGTGTTCTAGCAACTGCCTTATCTGTTATGTTCCTGCTGTTTTTCTTGCCACTCAACTCCTTCATTCATGCATTCTTCATTTCGCACAGTGCTATGGCTTTTTCTGTTTTTTTAATCTTCTTTGAAAATCTTTTAAAGGTTAAGAAGGTTGGGTTGTTTAGCTTGTGTAGATACTTTTGGTCAATTTAAAGCTCTGCCCTTGAATATTTTATCCTCTTATTTACCCAAGAAAATATTATTACAGGTTGTTCCACTTCTAATGAAAGCTATAGGATGGCAAGGTGGAAGCATTCTAGCTCTAGAAACACTAAAACATGTTGTGGGTGCCGGAAATCGAGCTAGGGATGCACTTGTTGCCCAAGGACTTAAGTAAGTAATTTTTGTAGGCATTAACTAATATGAATAAATGCAAAAGTGACATGCATATAAAGATGCATAATCTCTCTCTTTCTTTCTTAGTAAAGAAATATTTTCCAAGAATTATGGCATTTTACTGAGAAGCTTTGATGATGAGTTCTATATTTGGTTCATCTATTAATATTATGTACCCGATGCCTAATAGATTTTCTCTGATGTAAGAGTTTCATATTGGGTTTTTTATTTGAACTCTGTTCTATAGTTTCTGATGTGGAAACAAAATCTGTAAATAATGCAGGGTTGGTCTGGTTGAAGTACTGCTGGGACTTCTTGATCGGAGAGCTGGGGGAAGGATTGGACTTTGCTCTCAGATGAAATGGAATGAATCGGAAGCATCTATTGGCAGGGTGCTTGCAATTGAGGTTAGATTGCAATCATTCTCTGGGAACTTTCACCTTTGACCGGAGTCTAGTACACCATCATTGTTGTTATTTGTCTAGTTCTATGTCTTTTTGTGATTAGTTGTTTAAAGTGTATAATTCTAGGTAAAATTTCAAGGAGTAATCTTATTAAAGTATCACTGCATGAGATTTCATTTCCTTATCTCTTGAAGCCATTTTTTATTCCTTTCTTTATAATAATTTGAGTCATCTGAAATTATGTTTTAAATTTGTTAATACAGGTTTTGCATGCATTTGCCACAGAAGGGGCTCATTGTATTAAAGTGCGTGATATATTGAACGCATCTAATGTAAGTCCTCAGACACGCTTTCTATAGATTCATGTTTTTATGAACCTCTAATACTAACATTTTATTGACAGTTTCAATGTGTTTTTCATATTGTTCCTCCAACCTGAATTTGATGCATTCATTTTCGCAATTATGCATTCATACTATGCATCCCATCTCTAGTGGTTATGGTGTGCATTTTGCAGGTTTGGAGTGTTTATAAAGATCAGAAACACGATCTTTTCCTTCCTTCAAATGCCCAATCTGCTGCTGCCGGAGTTGCTGGTCTAATTGAGAATTCCCCATCTAGACTCACCTATGCCCTCACAGCTCCGCCACAACTGCACCGGCAGCAAGAATACCTCCTTCAACGGTGTCTGATTCAAATGGAAGTAAGGATCAGCTTTCATAGTGCAAGGATTAAAAAGGTATTTTCACAGCCATGAACGAGTACTCAGTGAAGAATTATACATGACACATTTGTACAGCTCAGTTACAGTTAATTTTTGTTCATCCCCCTTCTTTTACCCACTCTCTCACCAAGGTTAGATAAGATAGCCAAGGTGGTGGTTGCAATTTTCCTAGTGAAAAGAATATATTTGTTGAAGAGAGGAAAGTATTCATTTTCCCTTGTAAAGAAAAATCCTGATGATTGTAAATTGAAAAATCGGTCTGTGAGATCATTAAAGCAATTTTTAATGTTGAAGTTGTATTATATGTGCTGATTTTCCTGTTTGTGCTCCGTTGATCTTCGAATGTCACCAATTGTTTTGCCTCATAAAATTAATTTCATGACTTGATAACCTTTAGTCTATATGAATCTTATTGCTTTTCATATAATTAATGTAACAAGTCAAATTTTCACCATGGGATTGCTTAATAATTTAGCTGCACAAATTGACCTCATTTCATGGAAAGGAACATATTCTGGAAGTATTTTTGTTACTATGAAATTAGAAAGAAAACATACTAGCCAGTACCAAGCGACGTTTACTTCCCTGCATAACCCCTTAAATTTGTTCCACAACAAATAAGACATTGTTATAGTAATAGCTAGCTGGTGTTGTGTCATATGAAAATCCATGCAATTGAACCCATCAACACTAGGCAATTTCCTCCCAGAAATACCTTCACTTTGGCTCTATTATTGCTGCTTGGTTTTGCCTATGATACCGAGTTTGACCTTGTCCCAGCTGATGAAGAAATAGGGGCCCAGATGAAGTTGATCCAGAAGTTGGTGGGGAACTTCTTGTTGAAGTAGTGGTAGAACCTTGATCAGCTTCTCTAAAGATCTTTGCACCTAGTGAATCTGGTGGGAGGTTCAGAATAGCTACAAACATCATCAAAAACAACAATTAACTTTATTTGTTATATCAATTAATCATAAATGGTTCAAGCCATAGACGACTAACATAATCAATCCAAGGTACGTTTTAGAATAATGGAAACTTAAAATTCAATTAAACAATGTTCTCATTTTTTTTCCCTTTGTATTACTGGACATAGTAGGGCAATCAGTCACTTTAGCATCAATGTTGCAAGCAGATGGCATTTGAAGAGCCGAAGTGGTATTGACAGAAAGGCCCAAGGAAGGGTCAGTGCTCTCTTTGACGATAATGCACAAGCACTTACGCTTGCTGCCCTTCACTTTCTGTGTATCTTGGCAACACTCTGGTATTGGCTTCTTTGCAGTTCCACTCACAAAGGGAATGCAACTGCAAGATTTGCAAGCTGCTCTGCACATTCCTTCTCATCATCCTCCATTGTTGCCATTGATGCCAAGGCCAATGTTGCCACCACAATGCAAAATACCATTATCTTTCTGTTTAACCCCATCGATCTTTGCCTAAAATGATTAATATCTACTCTTAATTTTGTGCGTGTTTTTTGTTTTCTGCTTTTAGGCAATTGGAGAGTAATTCCCCCTCCCTCTTTTTTTTATTTTTTGGTTTTTTCTTTTGTTTTTGGACTGGGATTCCTTAGGTCTACATAGAGTTGTCTTTGCACTTGTTTTTTCTAAGCTTTTATCTGTAATAATATCAGCAGACGATAAAGAAACTGAAATTGATTGTAATGGAAAGGTATCGTTTTATTTATGGAATGCCTTGAGAAATGTTATATCCCATATTCCAATGAAAGATTCAATTCAAATTTATTGAGTTTTGCCATTCCCAATGACATCCTCATTTAATTCAAAGGTTCTTCATCTGCAACAGTACACAATCAGCCCCGGAAATAATTGGACTATTTTCCATACTACACACCAACTACAACCAAAAAACATCAAAAGATGAAAGACAAGGAGATACTATGTTTTGTCGGTAATTGCATGCTGGAGAAAATAATTTGTATATTAAATTTACATAAACCAGGTTATTCTTAGGATGGATACAAGGGAAAAGACAGACTAATAAATGTTAATGGAGTTTAATTACTAAAAAGAAAAAACAAAAATACAAAGTTGAGCTTATTATAAGAACATCATTGGATTCAGCTTCACAAAAGTAAGAAGCAGCTGGCTGGAAGTTTAACTCTTATGTTTATTAAAAGTGAATGAAAAAGATAAAGCGGATGATATCAACAGGACTGTATTTAAGTATATGATAGATATTGTCATCGGTGTGTACAATCTTTGCAGTTTAGATTTTTTTTTTTTTTTTGTCTTTCCCATTTTGCTAGTCTTCTACAATTGCTGACCTGTGTAAGTAGCAGAAGGTGACTGGGAGAGGAATGCACTTAGAAGGGTGACTACTAAGATAAACGCAATCCCTCATTGCTTCGACAAAATTGTGCATTTGCAAAGCGGACAGAGCGCGTTCATCTTTAGCCATTTATCTATACAGGTGGTATGGAAGAAATGAGAGCAAGGGAGCTCCTTCAGCACATCATTATCGGCATAACTTGCCAAACAAATGCAACAAACCTGTATAACGGCCATATAACCTAAGCTGAAAGACTGTTTCAATTGAAAGCGAAACAATGTAATAATAATACTTCCTTAAGCAATAAACGAAGCATTAGTTGCATGACTGAGGCATTCCAGAACTTACTGCATCATCCCCTGAAATAGCAGTGTCCTTTTCTGCTCCTGCTGCATCAACCCCTCCTTTAACGTCTGAATTGATTTTCCTTATGCTGCCACTACCATCTTTCTGTAACTTGAAAGTGTAGGTTGGCAGAGAATTGATGCATTCTGAAGTGGCTCCTTTAATTAGACCTAGGTTCCCACAGCAGCATGCTAAAACAGCACACAGGATGAAGGGCATAGTAAACTCAAGATAGCTAAAGACAAGAAACATTACACATAACCTAAAACGAAGACAAAGAAACTGGTTGGTTTCCAGACAGAGAATGGCCAGAACATAGCATAATACATATATGACCAGTGTTTATACCTATGCAAATTTGGTGCCCCAGAAGAAGAGTATCTAAATAGCCAAAAATTGCCAAGAAGAAACCAGATTAAAAAGTATGCTTTTAGCATCCATTTAAAGCACTCCAATAATCTGCTAAGCCTGCCAAGTTATCATGAAAAATGCATCAGCAGTTGCACATATTATTGATGAAAGGCATGCACAAAAAGCTCAGAAAAGCGAAAAGTCAACGTTAGGACCAACGAGAAAAGAACTAGTAAATGGACTCTAATATATGCAAACTGTCTGAGGCTTCAATTTACTTCTGAACTACAGGTCCAAATCTTTTTTAAAAATAAACACAGCAATAAAAGGATTTTTTAATGTTTATTGTATTTTTAGTTACAGTAATAGTAGCTATGAAAATTATCCAAATAAACTATTACACATGCAGAAAAGAGCACTTCTGTCATTGAAAATATACAATGTAAAACATAAAAGATGAAAATATTTCATATAAATCTAGAAGTGAATCAATATTTTCTTCCTCTGCAGCCAAATGCAAAATTTCTGATACAAAATACTCTAACACACACGAATACCAGTCCTGCAGTTTCTGCAGGAAAACATGACTGGTTTCAAGAACAAGAATCAAACTTCAAATTGAAGTCAAAAAGTTCAGAAACTAAGACATGCATAGGAGATCATGCAACATGAAGCCAACTACTGTTAGTTGAAGAACCTTCCAGTATGAAGATACCTGAGTCTCTGATAGCAAGGACAAGTTAAACAATTTGGTCAGACTTGATAACTTCTTTTAGGACAGGGAAAAATTTTCAAACCTCTCAATTTCCATTCTTCTAAGGTAGTTATTATGTCAATTCAGCATGGAATATTGGGAGAATGGAATAGCCATCCTTCCTTCCCCCCCCCCCCCCCCCCAAACCATGGCAAAGTAAATGAAGCATAAATAATTCAGGCAAATAATTCCACACCAAGAACAGAACACTGAGAAACCATCTTAAAGAATATACAGAGTAATTATGCGCATCAAGTATTAAGGATTTAGCATTGAGAAAAGGTAAACGCTTACTTGGGATACGGAAGAAAACAATGCTGGAAAAGGAAGGGAATACTAGCAGCACACCCCGCTGCATAACCAGCAATCCAAGTGGACAATGGAGCTCGCGACTTCTCATTCCTTGAAACTATTAGAACAGCTATTGATGCAACAATCTGACTTATATTGAAAACTAGTCTAACGTAAATCCAAAAGCAAAAAGATGATATAGAACTCCCATGACTTGATCCACCAGGAGCAGTAGGCTGAATCACAGGTTCTTGAGAATTCCTTGATACAACATTATTCCCATATTGACCATCATTTGGAACATCAAGAACATGATCATTTTTTTCATGGAGGATCACAGGTGGCTGCTCCATTTGTTAAAGGTTTTTTTTCCTTGGTTTTTTAAGTAGGACAAGAGAAGCAACATAAGTGAAAGCTTTTGATCAATTTTTCTTATTTTTCCCCCGATCTTATCATCTGTCAAATGGATTCTTCTGATATCATCAGGAAACCAACAAAAGTCAGTCCTCGGTTCTGTTGCATATATACTTCTATAAGAAGAGAACTTATGCTCCCAAACAAGAATTTCTATTCACAGCAAAAAATATTAAATAAAAAAGACAAATTACACATCTTTTTCTACCTTTCCTCGAAATTCTCAGTAACTAAAATGTAAAATAATAGTTTGATCCTTAGCTTGGACGAAACTGCTACAAAGACTAGAGAATTTTAACTATTGTTACAAAAAAAAAAAGAGGAATGCATGTTTTTTGGGTTCTCTTTCTTCAATTTTCCCAGGAACCAAACACGTTTCCAATTTCCCTGGGACTCAAGAAAACAAAACTTTAACTCAAGAATGAGCTCAAGTTCAAAACTTTTTGCACGTATTGATTCAAATACTCATCTTTCTCTTTTCCCAGTTTCCTCAGCATCCAAACAACAGGCAACAGCTCACATGTACTAGAATTTTTAACTTAAAAGCAACAGGGAATTAAGAACTTAAAAATAAAAAAACCAAAAACTTTTTTATATTACAGAAGAAAAGGTAATCAATCTGCTCCAAGATTGAAAAAAAAAAATTACGTTTATAAATTCTTTCTTTTTTCTTTTTTAGTTCTTTTTCACTAAAAAAAAAAAAACTTACAGTATTTATTTGGTTTTTGCCACTTGACCATCAACTGCTTGGTGAAAGAGAAAAAAAAAAAAGGCCAAAAGACTTCGTTCAACTTAAGATTTTGGAAAGTACAAAGCGAGAAGAAAAATCAAATTACTTATTTTGACGTTTTTCAGCTTGTTTTCTTGTACATTTCCCCCTTGCTTTCCGAAATCCAGACGGGCCTTACTCTAATGATACCCTCCTCTGATTCTCACCGTTTTTTCCTTTTTTTTTTTTTTTTTTTGTTATCTTTTGAGTGAATAGCTTGTTTATCACCAATTTTTTGTATAATTTTTTACGTTGCAAATAACCTCATTTTTTCTACTTTTTTTAAAATTAAAATTTTACTTTATAAATACACTAAATTTTAGATTTTTTATTATTATTAATGTTATCGACTTATTGTAGGTAGCATTTTTTGTCATTGGTTACAAAATATTATAGTATGTTTAATTTTTTGAAGAAAAATAAATGTAAAAAGAATCAATCTATCATCTATTTGTTAAACTTGCGAGTATAATGTATTAAATGAACAAATATTTTTTAAAATGGAATTTTAATTAATGTTGACAAATATTTATAAATGCCTGATAGAATTGAAATTTAAATGGATTTTGGATAAAAATATTAGTAATTTGGATAGTATAAATGTTTTAAAAGAATAATTCAACCAAAGGAAAAGGATCATGAAAAAAAAAAAAAAAAAGTTATATATATGCTATGATTTTGTGGAATATATGCTAGAAATTTGAAGGCTTTGTTCTTTGTGCTACCGAGTATGGTGGTGGAAGGTTCATTGTTTGTTTTTTCAGAGAGGAATATGACGAACTTATTAACATAATACTTTGCACTTCATGCTAACTTTTTCTCAAAGCATAATTCTCTTCTTCAAAACTAAAACCTACAGCTATTAGTCAATGTTGGACAATTAATTAAGTACATTATTTAACTCTTCGGTGACTTTTATATTTTACGAAAATTTAGATTTTAGTTCTTACATTAATTGATATAAATTTATTTTTTTTTAATATTTTAATTCAATCAATAACTCTATTAATTTTTTATTATTAAAACTTTTAACACGAGGTTAACCTGTTAACATGATTGGATGAATGAAATCAATTATTAAATTATATAAATGATCTCAGTATTTACATAAATTTTAAATTTTAATCATTGTACTCGTAAAAAAATTAAAATTTAGACTTTCTACTTTATAAAATTTAAAATTTAGTCCTTCTAATTTAAAAATATTTTAAATTTTTAAAAACTTTTTTGTTTTTTAAATATATTAACTTTTAAAATATTTTAATCCATCCAATATAAAAAATATTTTTAGAAATATATTATTTTTATTATATATAATTAATTATTAATAATATCATATTAATAATATTATTATCATTTACATTAATTAATTATAATATTAATATTTTAAATAATATATCAATTTTATTATTGTTTTAATTAATTTAAATATATTATATAACAAAATTTATAATAAACCAAACTATTGAATACAGTTATATTTGTACTGAATCTAAAATATACCATAAATGAAATGATCATTGTATCCAATCAAACAAAATAGGAGATTCAAACTTAAATCCTTAAGTATGATAAACTCCTATTTGTTTGAAGGACAAATTTTAAATCCTAACAAGATGAAATGAGGAAGTGATTTATTTGATAAATCGAAATATCAATATTGTGTATTATAATTAAAATTTTCAAACTTTTTAAGTTTTCACAAAAAAAAAAAATTTATCTAAATAATTATGTCAAATTAAATAATAAGGTTAATTCTAAAACCAATACACATTAAATTTAGTAAATTACTTTAATGTAGTAGAATCTTAAACCTAAATTTGACTATAAAATTTCATTTAAATAGGATTTAATTTAAATAAATAGAAACATTGTTTGATAGATAATTTTACCCTTATAGATTAGAATTATAATTCTAATTTATTTAATAAATTAATAAAAATAATAATTTTATTAAAATTAGATAGTTACAGATTTGTATCATATATTAAAAAAATTATGATAGATGTTTAATAGATTTCTGCAAGATTTTTTTCATTGTAATAAATTTAATGACAATATATAAAAATTGTGATAGATTTTTTAATATTGTGATGAAATATTATGACAGAATATTGTAGCAATTTTAAATTTTAATATTTTTAAAAGATTAGAAAAATTTTTTAATTCAAAATATTTTTTGCATTAAAGAGATTAAATTTTAAATTTCATATAAGTAAAAAGATTAAATTTCAAATTTCATTCAAGTAACTAAATTTCAAATTTCGTATGAATATAGAGATTATTTACATAATTTAATAATTGATTTTATCAATCTTAATTATCACGTCAATAAATCATTGTCACATTAATATAGTCAATGGTATATCAATAAAGTCAATGCCCATATCATCAAGTCAACGACTACATCAGTATTTTTAAAAGTAAAAGATTGATGAAGTTAGTGATTAGGCTAAATTTATCAACTTAAAATAATATAACAATTAAATTTGTATATATTAGAGTACATGTCGTAACGATTTTGTGTCTGTCCGACGAATTTAAAAACAAAAATAAAAATAATGGAGTCGTCACCAATCTTTTTTGGCTAGATGCGATTGGCCACCTACTAAAATATATCATTTTAATAAAATTTTAAAATTAATTAAAATTTATTAAAAAGATAATTTTACGGTCTGCGAAACGGTCTGGGTTCGGGAGTCAATTACGTGTGGAGAAGGATTAGCACCCCCACAGTGCTCGTTAAAAACGGTACCAATTAACAACGTGTTATCCTTTGATTTTGATAAAAATAGTCCAATTTTTGCTGTTCGAAAAATAATTTCCTTGATTTTTTATTTATTAAAAAAAATTGTTCTCAAGAAAAATAAATTAAAACTTTTTTATTGAAATAATTCTTAAAATGTTTCAGTACGTTGGTAACAGTAGAAGAACTTTTTCTCACCTAGAGATTTTTTAGGTATCGCTTCTCGGAATACCTTAGAATCTCATCCTCGGAGGTTCAAATTTACTTTTCATAAAAAATGTCATGCATGCAATGTAAAATGTTACCATATTTATGCACACATTTTACTCTCCTTTGTTAGAAATTTTATTAATTATTTTATTAATATTTTTATTTAAAATTTTGAAGAAAAATAAAATTTTCATTATATCGAAGATTTTTTATAAATATTTCAATACACTAGTAATATTTTACAAAAAATCTTCTCACCTAGAGATTTCTTAAAGCATCTTTACTCGGAATACTTTTAGAATCTCATCATCGGATAAAATTTTTTTTCTTCTCATTTTTATCATTTATATTTTTAATACATTAATTAGTTCTTATTTATTATATTTTTATAACCAAAAAAGGAAAATTTTTATTTTTATTGAAAATTTTTTTTATAAATACTCCAATACATTGGTAATATTTAAAAAAAATCTTTTCACCAAGAGATTTCTTAGACATCACTACTCGAAATACCTTTGAATCTCATCGTCGGATAAAATTTTTCTTTTCCTACATTTTTTATTAGTTTAGTATTATTATTAAATTTATTTTTATATTATTTTGTTTTTAAAATTTATTTTAAAAATTAACAAAATTATAAAAAAAATTTAACCACATATTTCATCATTTAATCTAACAAATATAAATATTTAAATATGCATAAATATTAATAAAATAATATATAAAAATTTAAAAAAAAATTTTAAAAAATTTTTTTTACCTGAACCGGATCGGTCAATAGTTCGATCAACGAGCGGTTCGGTTCGGTCTGGGCTGTTCAGTACCGATTCGATTCGATCTGGGCGGTTCAGTTCGATTCCTGTCCAATCAGACCGATCAGAGGTTGATGAAAAAATGGGTCATCGGGTCGGATGCAGGGTCCCGAATCAGGTCACGGGTTAACGCACGGATCTTGGGTGCTTAAAACGACGTTGTTTTGGGCGTTTATTAAAAAACATCATTTTGGCTATTAACAGCTTATATAAAAGTAAAAAAAAAAAAATTTCACTCATTTCCTCCGTTTCTCATACAAAAATCCTTTCTTTTTTTCTTTTTTTTCAACCAAACACAGATGGCCAGTCGACCGTTCCTCTGCCGTCTCTACCATTTTTTATCGATCACGGGCTGCCGTCGTCAGTGGTTAAAAAATTCTTAAAAACATCAAAATGTTTCTTTCGACCTCTTGAGTTCAGATCTGAAGTCCTTTTCATCAAAAAGAATCTTTACTTCTCCAGATTTGCTTTCAAAGTTTCGATGAAAAAAATTTTTTTGTATTCTAACCCTTTTTTTTTTAAACTGACCTCATTTTTTTTTCATACAGGAAGCTCAACGCTGGGTTCCTCCCTACGGGAGAATTGTGTATTTTTGTTTGTGTTTTTTTTCTTTTGTTTTTGCAGCGTCTCCTTCCTTCTTTTCATTCTCTCTTTCTTGGCTTCACTAGGAGCTTTATTTATAGAGCTCTAGCCATGCGTGTTTAGGAAACAAGGCATGAGACTTGGCATGGGGTGTAAGTACGAGCCCCATGCCTATTTTATTCATTTCTGTCTTATTTGATAGTTTATCAACAAAATGAGTAATTAAAAGAATGGAGGATAAGGTATAGTGATCAGAATGGTGAGGTGTAGGGTCTGATGGTAGTGGTACTGGGGAAGGCACCACTACCATCCTCGATTTTTCTGTTCTATTTTTTTTTGTATTTTATATTATTTTTGGTATTTTTTTATTGTATTTTGTATTTTATATTTATATGTATTTTGTATTTTATATTTATATGTATTTTATATTTTTTTTGGACAAATTGATGTCCACAGCTGTCCCTCTTAACACATAGGGCAAAGACAAAGATAACAATTTTGTCCGAAATCCAAACGATTTTTTTTTCTTAATCGAAAATGCTCCTCTCACTTGAGGCTCGACAACTTTTGAAAATTTAAAATCTGAAAAAGACTCCTCTCAGCAGAGGCACAACAACTTTAAAAATTTCATCTTAAAAAGTTCCTCTTAACAGAGGCTCAACAACTTTTGGGAATTTAAAATCTAAAAAAGATTCCTCTCAGCAGAAGCTCAACAACTTTGAAAATCTCATTTCAAAAAGCTCCTCTCAGTAGAGGTTCAACAACTTTAAAA